TATCTGTTCATCTCTTTGTCTCCATTCTTGCCAGTTTTCTTCTTGAGAGTCCTTCTTCATTGTGCTGTGCAATGTTTGTTCATGCTGAGATAGACAGCATCCATGGGAGGATTTTTGAGGAATCTTTTTAAAAGCAAGATTTCTGAGCTAAGAAACAAAATAAGGTATTTTTAACATTAACCAGAATATTAATGAATATTCAGCAACAGCTTTAATGGACTAGCAAAGACATTCAGACACATATGCAAATAGACATAAGTATAGTTTTAATTTATTCTGTAGCTTAGGATACATTTTTGTTCAACCCACCAGAAGGTAAAGTTTCTATTAGATCCCTTACACGGATCCTTTACGTAATTAGAAAAATAAGCAGTGAACAAGTAACATTCAAATTTTGCAGCTCAGAATAAAAGACAACATTCACTGCTTAAGCTTAAACATTAACTGACATTCTAATCCTAACACTAAGTGAAAATGGAGACCCGCACAATCTAATATCAGTTCAAAGTACGGAATTTCCTTAACATAAGAGCCACAGCAGGAAGAAAAGCTATTATCAGGTGTTTCAGAAGTTAAACCAAGTACAGAAGTGGCCACTTCACCCCTCATGTGTGGTTACATGGTGTCACAGTCACTTCTTAAAATGGGAGCTCATCCTAAGTTACTCACAATCAAGTACTAGTGCAGATAGTTCACATTTGTTTGCTCTTCACACACTCTATTCTGATATACTGCCTCTTCCTTCTTTATCAGCACTACCAGTACCTGCATTGCACCCTCTGCTCCATTTTTCAGTTTATGGTGTTGGCAGGAACACTGCTACAAACCACTCTAATTTACTATTTCAGTGGAATATAGCAGAGCCCTAATAGAAGCTAGAGTGAAGAAAATTAATTAGCCTTAGTTTGTGTCTTTCCTGTCACAGAATTAAATATAAATTGCCTGAAAACAAACGTAAGTATATGTAATGTGTATGGTAGTGAATTTACACAGATACACACAAAAGTCAGGGAGCGTTCAATAACAGCTTAAACTCAAAATATCAAAAGGTATAAAAGAGCGGCAAAGACTGTTTTGTTTTGCTTCCTTTTTTTTTAAATCTAGCATTAATGCAGATGCTAACATTCCATAAGATTTTAACTTTTTAACAAAAAATATTAGACAACAAGATCTGTATAGTTTTAGGCAGAGGAGTTCTCAGATAGCACTTGTCAAAAATAGACTACTTATAGTTCATCTACCTGTAATTTTGAGAAAATTATTGCAGTCTCACTTCTCAATTTCTCTTTAACCTTAGGCTTAAGAACCAAACGCCAGAAAAACACCACAGCCATTTCCCCAAATTCAGAAAAGGAAAGGTCTGGATCCAATCACTTCATGAGCTGGAGTGATGGAAAAGACTGAGAAGCAAAGCTATGGTAACCAGTTTTTAAAGCTCTTCAGACGAGTAGGTAGGTCTAGCTAACAGCTTAATAATAAATAAAAACATATATATATTTAAACCATCTTTGAATTTTAACATGCTGGGTGTTCAAGCAGGCGGCTAAAAACTGATTTCTTATCATACTCTGGAAACCAGCTGTTGCCCAGCAATCATGTTTTAAGCAAATATTATGTTCTCCATCAGTAATTAACTATTCAAGGGTCTGGTATTAAGTAAATAAAATAAAAACTAGCAGGGTATTGTCACTCAGAATATCAAATTATACAATACAAAGGATCAAATATAGGTAAGATCAAATTACATGTACATTTACATAATAAGCTTTTAATAAAAGCTATGGAAATTTTGAAATGCCTTCCCATAACTAGAAAAACAAAACAGGATCTCCCTCATATTAACTGGATGGATATTAATGGATCTTACCCATTACTGAAAATACCATTTCTTTACCTCATTAGCTTCACTCTGTTGCTGTTCTTTCTTTTTCCTTCTTTTCTCTCGTTTCTTCTCGTTTGTAGAAGGTCTCCCTCCTGAAGCTTGAGATTTACCACTAGCTTGGCTGTTTCTACCCTTTCCAGGCTCTGAATCAGTATCACTGTCTAGTTGTAGCAAAGCAAAACGAGATGCAGTGGTAGGAACTGAACTGATTACAGCAGATGCCATTGCAAGTCTGAAATTCTACGGAGATAGTGTATCTTTAATTATTAGGTGTCCTGGAAAAGTAGAGAAATAAGTATTAGAATATTGTTTGCCCAAATCGGCTTTCATATTCTAAAGAGAGGGCTGGATAGTACTCCAAGAGCATTTTCAGATGCAGTTCTTGGAGCCTAATAAACACATGATTTGAGAAAGAATGCGAGCAGGTGTTATACAGAGGCTGGCTTACAACAAAGAAGTTCATTTCAGGGTAAGTAGCATTTTAGAGTAAGAATAAGGAGCACTGAAGTCAGCACATGGAGGGCATGTTTGATGGGAGTGGGGAGAACTAGGGATATATTTGCTGTGCTTTTCAGCTGCAGCTATAAGCAACACGTGTATCCCAGTGACACAGTTCCAAAATCATCAACATTTACCCAGGATAAAGGCAAAATCTTTGACATAAGAACATTTGCAGCGTCAAATTAAATAGGAGAGAAGACTGTTTATTATGAGAACTAATACATACTTTTTGAAACAGCTTTTTGAAAGGAATAGTTACAGCCTGATAGCCGTAAGATAATGAGTTGAATGTCTTCTTGAAAGGTCTATGAAAATGTTGTTTATTTCTTACTGTTACGGGAGGACATAAGAATCCACTCAAGATTCAAAAAAAAAAAAAAAAAGGCACTGAATTCCTAACTTTTTCAAAGATGAGCTTGTAGATGCTCTTAAGACACCTAAATATACAAACAGAAAACAATACTGCTACAGTGACCATTATCCAAAAGAATTATTAAAAAGAAATATTACATTTCACCTTATAGAGATGAAAGAACTTGCAAGTAAACTAATACCACTGTATTTAAATTTACTGAAAAGTAAAGGTTACCATAAATACCGCCCTCCCCCCCCCCCCTCTCGCCAGAGAAGATATCTGACTACATTTCTTTCAAAAATTCATCAATGCTTTTTAATATTCAAGAACACTATAGTTAGCCTAGGAGTTTGCTTATGGCTGGTAGAAAAGTTTTACTATTACTACCTTGAAACACACAGTAAATTGAAACCTGAAACTCAGAACAACAACACACACAAAACAGCAGAGGCAAGTTGCTCAGTCATGCTACAAGGCCTTGTAACACCGCATGTTGCCTTAGACACCACACCTGTCCTAAGACTGAAAATTTGAGGACTCTCTATTGCATTTGGCACAAGAAAAAAGTTGGTGTGCTGTGCTATGACTCTGCCCATTAAAAGCTCTGTGCAACAATGGTCACATATTTTGTTCTCCACATTTATAGCTAAAAGCAGCACCACACAGTCTTAATTAGGTTCACAGTTGTTAATGGTGTCGTAAGTTTTCAAACTGTGTGATCAAAAAGGTTTAGTTCCTCTTTATAAGCTGTAATGATGGCAGTTAGGTCCTTTGTGAGTATACTAAAAAGAATAAAAACAATAAAAAATAAAAATAAAAAAGGAGCTTGCCACTAAAGCTGGAACACTACATAACTGTGAAACATGGCTTAAATCTCTCTCTCTGTGGAATGACAGTCTAAGAAATTTTGCAAGTTGAAAATGGCCTGTTGATCAAAACCAGCTTGTGTAAATACCAGAGTTCCTCTCCAGAGAGCACACCTAGAAAAAACAAACAAAAACACAACACCAGGAGGTGTAAAAAGAAACAAAAAAGCCAGTGACAGCTTTTTAGTACCTCAAAGAAAAGAGAAATTAATATTTTGAAGTTGTTCCTATTTCTGCTGTGCATGTACCATTTACAGAAGAGTCTTTTTATATAACCAGAAATTATCTACCCTTTAAGATCACTGGTATCTACCCTAAAGTATCTATCTACCCTAACAGATCACTGAAGAAGGGACTTCAAAATGCAACATCACAATAGCACTTTTACACAGGTGGCACCAATTTATGACCTAGTTTCAAAACCTTCTGCTTTGCAGATCACTAGCAGACTATTAATTAAAATATATGTGCATTTTTTTTAAAATTATAAGATTTTGTGAACAGTTCCATAAACCAAAATACACTTTAAATTTGTATATCATCAGCATAAGATAAGAATTATACATATCTACCATATCATTCATGATGATGATTTAATATCACTTGTTATCTTCACAAATATGATTTTTTTGCTGCTTTACTACAGGTCATAATCCTCTGTAATCATGTTAGATCACTACATTATTGGGTTATCTTCAAATCTTAAACCTTAAATGGATTCTTTTCATATTCTAAAACAATAACTTATTCCAAGTTAGTTCCATTTATGATATATTTTATGTATTACTTTAGCATGACAATACAGTGATCTGCAAGCACATATTGCTTGGTAAAAGCAGACATGTAAGAAAGTCAAACTGGGACATGACTGAAATAAAAAGGCGTCTTTTTAAACCTCAGTCCCCTAATGTATACCGGGTATGTTTCAGAAACATAAGATAGGTCACTGTCCTGAAGAGGTTCAATCTAATTTTAGACACGATGTAACAGCATTACAGTTATAAAAGTAACATATTCACATGCCACTACGGCAACTTGATTTTGTATCACATAAACACAGGAACTCGCATGCTGCGTACAACTTTTCAGATACTGAACTTTTAAATGCTCCTCTATAAACCATCCAATACACATGCTCAGAAGTTAACACATATTCACTTTTTTTTTTTTTTTTTTTTTTCTGAGCCCCAGGAGCTTCCCTTTGCACACATGTATGAGTTGGCATTTAGCTGCTTGGCGAATGCTCGAAGAGCACGAGGAAGCGGACTGCACTGCACCAGGAGTCCCCACGACGCGCCAGCCCAAGCCCCGGGGAATCTGTGAAATAACTCTCCGGTTCTGCACATGGTGCTGCGCCTTCTCTAGGCAAACAGGCCCAAAGCGCAAGCTGCTGACACTTCCGTCTTCAAAGAAGTTGCCAACAGAAATGTAGATTTTCAGAAACTTGGAAAACTGGATGTGGTCATGTTCCTACACGAAATCTGTTTAAATAACTAATGGTGCCCATGTATAACAGATGCTTCTACGCATAGTGACCACTTCACATTGCAACAAATTTCAATACTTATTCATACACCTGAAATACCACTCATATACATAAAAGGCTTAAAAATAAAAACAAAGAAACGAAAACACACCAAAAGGGAACATCTCCCTTATCTACTGACCCTGATTGACTCTAGCAGTTTCTGCACCTGACACATTGATCTTTGGCTGTTTGTACATTTCTTACAGCAAACACAATCTACCTGTACTTATCAAACAGATTTACAGGAAATTTCAACACCCAGACTGTGTGACCAACTGTCTGACTTTAAATCATCTTTACCTTATGTCATTTGGTCATAAGCCATTAGGTTGCATTAAACCAAGCCAAAACCCCAGAATCACTGACACCCCCGCTCCTCCCCAACAAGAGCGGCCGTGGGCCACTCTCACGCCACGCAAGGTAGGAACGGTCAGAAACGCCTCGCGCTGCCAGCCCAGCAGAAGCGGCGCCGCGGCGCAGTGCGGAGCGGGAGCCTCCCCCGCGCACACGGGCGCGAAGCCACCGCCCTGCGGAGCGCGGAGGCAGGCGAGCCGCCCCGCACGC